AGCTGAGCAGGAAAAGGGTCATCCATTTCCACTTCAATATCAGATTTCAGTGGTTCAATCTGTTAGTGTCAAGCCCGGATTAATAAACCCTGGTTGATGAATTGTGGTGGTTACCCCAAATAGTGATAAAGGGCTACTGAATTAATTCCAATATGTTAATTGAATCATTAATTCACCATTGGATATAAAAATATGTCACCATTGATTCACATGACAATGGATATTGGATCATTAATTCACCATTGTGTGACATATGATCCAATGCGAGACAAGTCACAGCTGGTGGCTCTGGTGGTCTTACTTGGTATATTCTGCGGTCTTGGCCATTGGATCTCTGAAAGGATCTCCGATTTTTTGTACAATGTGTTACAAGGTGAAGCCCCCAAGATAGGTAAGTTTCTGAGAATCACTAGTGGTTGGTGGTTTATTTAACATGTTTTATTTTCCATGTCATAGAAAAGGGATGTCATCCTTCCCATTGACTAACTCATAATAAGAGAACTGACTGACATTTGTGGCTGTCCAAGAGGCTACCCTCTGGTAATTTGTCACATAGCTATTGAAAATGACCATTGAAATAGTGGATTTTCCCATTGAACATGGTGGATCTTTCTATAGTTATGTAAACGTTTACCAGAGGCTAAATCCCATTCATATCCCATTGAATCACTATAAAATGCCATGAAATCATTGTAAATCCCATGATGTCCATGGTTTTTTCTATGTCTACCAGAGGCTAAGTAAAACTGAAATCCCATTAATCACTACAAAATGCCATGAAATCCCATGAAATCCCATGGAAAACCCCATGATTTTCCATAGTTCAAACTGACACGGAATTTTTGAGCCGCCAGGATGAACATCTATTCCGAGCCGCCTTTGACCTCGGAGGGCCGGGAGTGGTGGGTGGTGGTGACCCAGTGGGGAGACTCTCTTTTTACAGGCCGGGAACGGTGGGAACGGTGGCGCCGGGAGCGGTGGTGGGAATAGTTTGGGATTACCCGGCCTGGTAAATTTAATGGGATTTAATGGGATTTTCCATGGGATTTAATGGAATTTTATAGTGATTAATGGGATATGAATGGGATGATTAGATATGTTGGGATTTTCAGTGACAGAACTGGGGGATTTTTTCAGGGATTTTTGGGATGATACCCGGCCTGGTAAACGTTTACATAGCGAACTGGAAAGATCCACTATTTTATAGCTGGGTAAATCCACTATTTCGACTGGGCAAATTTCAATAGCTATGTAACAAATTACCAGAGGGTAGATAAGAACAAAGTGTAGCATCAAATGTGTCTCAAATTTATGCGTCACCGATGATCATTCTGCTTTGTCAATGTGTTCCCCCTTGAAAATGCTGCATGAGCATGCCGTTTTTTTTTTGGGGGGGGCTGGATGTTTCGATTGGTTTACCCTCTGGTAAACTAACATAGCTATTGAAAATTGCAATTTATAGTGGATTTACCCATTAAAAATAGTGATTTTCCATAGCTATGTTAGTTTAACAGAGGGTACGTCATCATTTCCTCCATGGCCAAAAATCCGGCGCAGGGCTCTTCATGCTGGATGTTGGTATTCGCATCATCGTCCTAAGGTGGAAGTCGGGACAGTTCTGGCTGCCTGGGACTGGCTGAATATGTTATGGTTAACCAGGTGATACCCCCGTTCGAGAACGCTAAGTTGGTGAACATAACTCCAATGACTATGGGTTATAGGTGATATATCTAAAGTCAATGGGCTTATAACCAATCTATAACTGGGGAGGGCACCACCTTGAACGTTCAATGATGTTGTTTGATAAAATGAACAATTTTAACGCAGTCCTGAGATGTCCTAAGCATGCTATGTTGACCATGGGCGATTGGACTCCCCAATGCTGTTCTTGTGTTTCTGTTTTTTATGTCACGAGATACGTGTATAGATATATTTACTGTTAATACTGTTAATTACCGTACATGCCATAATACACAGTCACATACATGCATAGCTGCACACATGAATATGCATAAATAAATAGACAAATAAATCAATCAATATACAAATAAATCAACATATCGGTGTGCGCGCATAAGTATAGAGAAAGAGAGATTCGCATTTTTGGTCACACTTGCTGACACTTGCCATATGCCCCCATCCTGGCTTTGGGGAGGCTGCAGTTTTGGAAGATTTGGGTGAACTATGTGGACGTGGCAGTGACCATCGTTTCCTTCATGGAGGCACAGTGCGCTGCGGATGGCTGAGGTGGAGTGTAGCATAGTAAGGCTATGTGTAGTTGTGTTCAAACTAGAGAATCTAGAGAGAAGCTAGGGGGGAAAACACGATTCAATCTAAGACCATCCAGATGATGGATGATGATTCTACAGGATTCTACTCTAATTTCTCAATCTTGCATGTCTGAGAGTTTCTCCACTGATGTGCTTTTAAAGGAGAGGGCCTCGGGTATCTCGGGTGCTATGCTATACCACGCCACATCTATCCAGAATGTTTCTGAAAAATGGGGGGTGAGCCCTTCAATTTTCATCAACCAGGGGAAAAAGGACGTCTGTGGTTAGGAAGCACAGGATGCCTGGGACGGGAGGACGTGTATCACTCGCTTCCAAAAAAAAACCTAAGAACGGATAATCCAAGAAATTTTTTGGGCTCATGGACAAGTGTTCTGATCCAGTACCTCACAGATCCCTCACGGATCCCTCCCTCAAGGCACCGACCCAAGCGCACCAAGGGATATCTGGGATGGTGAGACCCACAGCTCTGCCCTGAGTGGATAAGCCTCCGCTGATCATGGCAATGGAACATCCACCATTTTAATAAACTTATAGACTTATAGAATCTTAATGATGAATCTTATGCCCCATAGGATCCATGTATGCTATATATGGTAACATTTACCATACATGGATCCTATGGGTACATGATTGTCCCAGCTGTAAACTGTAAACCTCCTTCCCTAGTTTGGGGGTTTCCCAGCTTGCATTTTTCTAAAATTACCAGAGGGTAATCATTTACTAACACCCAAAAAAACGGATGATGAAGTGGGTGCATCTCTTGCCACTGAAGTTGTCATATGTTGTCATGATTTGGCTCCTATTCTATCACCATCTCCACTACCTATCTTAAGACCACATGAGGTACCAATGCTGACACCACATTGATCTTGTTAATACCAAGGCCCAAAAGATAGACGGCTCAAACCCGCTAGTTTACGGTAGTGGAATTAACTCTTTAAATATATACCGGCTGCCAGCACCACAGGGCTCACGTTTAATTATTAATCCCCCCTTCCGTTCTTGGATGTGCATCCCAGGATTGCTGGTTGGGTAAGAAGCATCCTAGCTGATGGATATATATGGCAATAATGTTCACATCGGGTTATTAATCCACGCCACGAAAAAGAGACCCAATTTGAGGAAAAATAGCAGACAGTGAGTCTGGCAGCGCCGATGATCATGGTGTGAAGATTTCTATGAAGCATGTGGTGCAGGATGGCAAGAACAAACCCTGCATGCCGCAGACCATCACAAAAATGGATACGGTCTTTGCCAAGTGCAGCAAAATTGATCCTGGGTTCGTGTTCTTCTCGAAAAAAAACAGGCTCAGAACCAGCAAGAAGGGCAACGCGGCACCCGTATCTTGCAACCTTCCAGCTTTCAACGACCTGCTGCACAGTGTGATGTGTCAATCCAGAGCGCCCATGATGCGCTCGAGGAGGATGAAGACGTGCATAAACACCTCGACAATAAAGTATGCCAACCGTTTTTGGTGGTATGTTTGTCGTTGTTTGATGCATTGATGCATAGTTATTTTTGCTTTCTTGATCGCTTACATATAATATCATATAATTACTGAGTGGTTGTGAATTGGATATCTAAAGCCGCGATCTCCAATCTGTTCAAATTTAAACCTGAAAAAGTTTTCCATGAATACATATCTCAAACATGTATTCATTTTCAAGTAGGCAATTTGTTCGGCAATACTTCAATGCAAACATGTTCCATGCGTTTGTTTTCAAATGCATTTGTTTTCAATTATGCAACTCGTTCGGCAATACTAAGTGTCCGGGGTCACAAGAAGTATGCGTCAGGGCGCTCAGCATTTATACAGGATGTCAACGCTACATATACGGCCAGGCGCTGAGTGTTGCCCGGAAAGTTCACATGGCGTTTAAGCATTATCCTTCAACATGCTCAAACACCTGCGCAGGGCCAGTGCTTTGAGATTTCCCAGACGATGAGCCCTAAACCCCAAATCCTAAATCCTAAACCCAAAAACCCTAAAACATCCTAAAACCTAAAACCCTAAAATCTAAAACCCTAAACCCTAAAACCTAAACCCTGAAAACTTTGAATCCTAGACCAGAAAACTCTGTATATATGCAGTATTTTCTGCAAACTCTCCTATCTTATTTAACAACACTACATCCTCAATGTTAATGTCTGGGCAAAACACGGCGTTTGTGGGTAATGTTGCATAACTATATAGTAATAAAACACATATTACATAGTAGTATGAGATGTATCAGTATCTCTATGATATATATATATATATAAATGTATCTATCTATATATATATATATATCTCTCTCTCTATATCTATATCTATATCTATATCTATCCATATTGTCTATATATCTATCTATTTATTTAGGTAAATATTTCACACGATCCGCCATGAACAATGGGATCAATGGCCAGGTCCTGAGCTTTGCCGTGCCCGTGAAGGTGAACGCAGCCATCTTCCGGCTGCTGCGGATCGGCAAGTTGGCGCGCGCCATCCGCTCCTTGACGGCTGATGCTGGGAGGATGGGGGTTGAAGCCCAGAAATCATGGATGGAGAATGGTGGATGTATACAAAATGTTGGATTTTTGACGGTAAAATGGTGATTTAGAATTATAAAATCGGGTTTTTGTAGTTTGGAACATGGCTTTTATGACTTTCCCATTCAGTTGGGAATGGAATAATCATCCCAACTGACGAACTCCATCATTTTTCAGAGGGGTTGGTCAACCACCAACCAGAAAAATTCTGCTTATCTAAAAGATTGATGCACCTATTGAATCCCATATAAAAACATATAGTAGGTGTTGGACGGGTTTTCTCGTTATTTTCTCGCTTGTTGGAAGCACCTTAGGACCTTTCACGATTCCAACCGATCATGGTCCCATTTTCGTAACGTCCATGCAGGATGGGGCCCCACAATTATAAGTTGGTTTATAAACCATTATAACCCCAATCAACTTCTTCGTTATTTTACCACAAACCATAGTTTTTTCAGCCACTTATAAGGCAACTGAACGCTATCGACTGGGGGCCCCATCCTGTGGAGATTGGTCATCCCGAGGTATGTTGCCTGTGACCAATGCTTTGGGTTCGCTACAATTGTTGGTCAAGGGCCTTGTGGCCAGTAGGTGGGCGGTGGGCGCCGCTTGCGTGGGCTTCCTATTGGTTTCCTTCAATGGGATGCGAATGGATTGGGAACTGATGGTTACTATATTGGTATCCGGCGATTGAAGCAACAACCATGGTGATTTTTTATGGGATCTTAAATGGGATTATGATTCCATAGGTGGTTTTAGGAAGAAAACATGGTAGTGAACCAATTGTATCCAATGACTATGTATGGCAAACCAATAAGATCGAAATTGAAGCAACACACTTTGGGATTTCAGCAACAAACAATGGGGATGTAGTAACTGAACAATGAAGGTTTGACAACACTCGTAGCGATTTGAGCAAACCAAATGGGGTGCCAGGTGCTCTTGGAGTCACAGCTGGCCGCTTCACAGGGGGAATAACCCATTCTCACTTTGTGTTTGGGGTTATGGAAGGACATGTTATGACTATCTCAAAACCAGGTTTTTTTTTAATCCTTGACTTACTGTGGATGAATCAGCCCCTTAAAAGGTGATCCAGAAAAAACTATTCCGCTAGACATCAGAATTTATACACCAAGTTTTTCGCCTACGGGATCAGAACCTTCCTGAGGGACCTATTTTCCGTTGCAGCGATTCATATTGCACTATATATATATATAATATATATATACCCTCTGGTAATTTGTCACATAGCTATTGAAAATGGTGATTTATAGTTGATTTTCCCATTAATAATGGCCATTTTCCAGTTCGCTATGTTAAATTACCAGAGGGTATATATGTATGTATATGTATGTATGTATGTTTGTTCATTTTCGGGATAGGTCCGAAAGACACAGGAGGCCCCAGCTGTTCAGCTGAAAAATTCTTGCCATGGGGATTCCCTAAGCCAAAGGAAAAACACCCTGGCAGAGTACCAAAGACTGGCCATCGAACTACAGAAACCTTGGTGGACACTACCCTCTGGTAATTTGTAACATAGCGAACTGGAAAATCACCATTTTTAACAGGTAAACCATCTATAAGTATCTATAACTGGGCCATTTTCCATAGCCATGTTAGTTTACCAGAGGGTATTCTGATTCATTTTTGAGCATGTGAAATCCAGGGCTGATGGTTTTCACCCATGTTTTTTCAAGTAAACATGGCAGAAAACTTCCATAGTCAACCAACCAAGTGAAATCCACTATCTTAGCAGGTGCATCCACATTGTCGTTGGCAAATCACCTGCTTGCATAAGCTTTTTTTTTCCCATGGATCAATGCCACAGCTTTGCGAAACATTTGGTGCACCAGGGGAATGCTCTTCTGGAGTTTTTGCTTGTTGACCTTCCTACAATGCGTTGCTGGCATGGTCATCAGCACCCTTTGCCCGGCAGCCCAGGAAATTGCTCAACCAAGGAGACATCCCGAAAACAAGCATGGACGGCAGACATCCTCAAGAAAATACAGCATGTTTGGCAATGTTGAATCAATTCCTCTTCCAAAGCCATGTTTTTTGCCCAACTTTTCAGACAAGTCTCTTCCAAACCCAGGTTTTTCCGATTCTTGCAATTACAATGTGAGGCCCCCGTTCGATACTGTAGCTAAGTTGGTGCACATAACTCCAATTTCACTATGGTTTATGGTACGCAAATAACGAACTAGTTACTGGGGCGAATCTAAACCAACCACCGTTCACATCACTGGGGGGCACCACATTGTATGGCCCTCATTTCCACTTCCAAATGGGATGAGAATCTAACTCCCGCAAGTAAAGTTATAAGCCAGTTATAACATGAAATCCGGAAAGTGATCAATTGTTATCATGAAATAAACCACTTATAACATGTCAAGATCTGTTAAGAGATTTTTTTCAGAGCCGTAACTGTGGATTCCAAAGCCACAGGATGAGCACCCCGTTATAAGTTGGTTTACAAAATTGTATAAACCGTTCTAACCACCATTAACATCCATTAACTATAGTTATATCATGTCATATCTACCATAAACCATGGTTTTTCATGTTTTTTTTCAATTTTTTCCAGGTTTTCTACCATAAACCCCGGTTTTTTTCCCATGTCGGGGTGTCCCAGCTGAGCTGCTGAGCTGCTGAGTTCAGGTCGCGACTACCTCCTGGAGCGGATCAGTGATGCGCCCAACTCCCAGGCTGTACAGGATGTGTCCCTCGGCGTCCCGGGAAAATGGGCATATTGGGACATGTGTGATACATATCAATACATATTAAAACATATTATATATATATATATATTATTTGTGTGTCATATATATATATGTATTCATCACATGTATATATCTATACCATATCTATATATATATATATCATTTATGTATAATTGATTATTAGTGATTCTTGTCGATTCTTTTTGATTCTTATGAATGATCATGGTTTTCTATTTTCGACACATAAATATGCATATCACATATTGAGCAATATTATACTTGGATTTGTCTGAAAATGAAGCACCCAGCATGTATGCCGCATGCCAATTTGACAAGGAACATGCAGTGGACGGAAAGGTGTGCCCTCTTGTCATACCATGTCATACCCATATGCTTGGCTTAATTATGGCGACCCCCAGTTGGTGAAACATGAAACAACTCGTGTGCCCATCTATATCTCTATATATATAGCATGTTTTCTTACTCATTGCATTCACATATTGTTTGTTGTTTTTTGGAGATTTCAACAGGTATATGTACATGTGCACAAAAATATTTTCGTGGAGAGCTTCCAATCTTTATGCATTTATATTTACATGTATCAGATTGTATCAGCATATATATGTTTTAGATATATTTACATATGATATATGTATAAGCAATTCTGACCTGATGATGTATACATGTTGATATCCGCATTTCCACCGGTGTTGAACGAGAAAGACTTAACACTGATTTAACTTGCCATCACCAAACAGAATCAAGATCGAGTTTAAGTAAGTACTGAAGTGATGATGATGATGACGACGATGATGACGATGATGACGATGATGATGATCATGATTTAAGTACTCAAGGCTTAATATCACCCATCATGAAGTCTATGTATTACATAACATGCATGGTTATACCATACATGATAGATGCGTATTCCCTACACCGAATGTTGAACTACCCTCTGGTTATTTAACATAGCCATGGACAATTGCCATTTATAGTTGATTTACCCATTAAAACCTCCATTTATGGTTGGGATTTTCCATGGCTATGTTAGTCATAACCAGATGGTAATGAATTGAGTTCCAATCCATCTGCCAAGATTCTCCGGCGACAATCCTGGAATCGGACGCCCTTTAGGTTTATGCACTACGGCACCTTTTCGCGGACCTTCCTCACGATGTCGGGACGCACAGAAACGAAACCTGGGTTTGAGTTTGGTAATCAAACATGGCAATGGAAAATCACCCAAGTATAGATGATTTTCCCATGAGCACCTCCATTTATAGGGCATTTCCCAGCTTGATCCAAAGTTCTGCTGCCTGTTTGTCTTTGAATTTGCAACCTCACAGACTTTAGAAGCATCAACCACTCTTGCCACCCAGAAGTCTAAGGGGAAATCATCCCAATCAGCCGTTCTTCAGGCTAGTGAATTAGTGCAAGAAACACATGACAGACCCTGATATCAAATTAGTGACTCTTATATCCCTGTTATATACCCTTCGTGATTTCACCTTGCGATTGAACATGATGAAATTATAGTCGGTGATTTACCTATTTTTCATGGTGATTTTCCACATCTTCATTTACCAGAGGGCAATTATTCGTTGACATACTTTGATACCCACCACCCACTACATCACCATTTTGGATACTTAAATCCTACTAGGATCCCACTATTCACCATGTTGGATACTGTAGGTTTGAGATCCTGTTTGCCAATTGGGGTCCGCCCGCGCGCATCTTGGTGGACAACGTCAGCGACCCGGCAGTGAAGCCAAAAATGGTGGTGGGGCGTAGCCGCGGTCCAGGGGAGGTAGAATGCAACCCTTGAAAAAAATGTAGAAAAGCAAAAAATCCAAGCCTAAAACCATATAATACTTGTCGTTTTGTTTGGTGGGTTGCGATTTGAAACAAGAAGTGAATTACCATGTAATGTCATTTCTTGCGAACCAAAAGGGATGTATTGAGCCTAACCAACCAATTTTGGTCAGCAGGGCAACTAACACTGTTCAAAGAAAGTAAAGAAATGCATTTAGCTGTGCTCGCCGTGGATATGCAAAGAAACTACCCCAACATAGGTTAATGTTTCTGTTTCCCAGAGTGATTCAAACATCAGCATGGAATTAGATCTCAAAATTGGGCGTATCCTACTTTGCAGCAGTTTGGTTCGGGAAAATGTTGATCAACCATGACATTTTGCGGCACCCTATCGTCAGACAACTCCATTTACCTTCGCCCTAGCACATTGTTTTTAAGTCCTATAGTAATCACCGTGTGTGTTCATGGCCTATTTTCCTGGGTTTCCGAATCTGTGTTTGCGAAATGGACAATCACCATCGTTCATGAAGAGGTAAAATTATCAAACCTTTATGGGCCATCGATATCAGTGATATCAGTTCACAATTTTTAGGTACTGTATATAGGTGATGTTTGATTCTTGTAACCTAGGAAAAGGATGGAACAGGTGGATTGGGGAGTCAGGGTCAGGGTCGGTTCCCATGGGGTTCCCATGGCTCCCCAGAGGCTACTGTACCTATGCTCAGAATCCAGTGCAGTGAATTGGTTCGTGAATTTTGGCCATCCATGGGACGGCTTCGCTGCAGGTGAGTGGTATTCCATTTTCTTTCTGCTCTATCGCTGTGTGCTGGGCTTTGCTGTGCTTTGGTTGCGATATGTTGCGATCTACTTTTGGGTCTCCAAAAGTGGATTCCATCCCCAACACCATATCTAACCATGGTGAAACTGGGGGATGTTTGAATGTAGAGAGATGGGTTTGTAAAGAACTGAAAGCAGAAATCTGACCACCGAATATGGGTGAAATCATGTGACAGTGTCTACAGCTATCACTTGCCAACCAAAGGGTGAAAGAGTCAGTTATAAGCGAGTTTGCCGTGGCAGGGTCAGGCACTATTGTTTGTATATCATTGATTATCTATATGTATATCTATATATGTATATCTGGGTATTTGTCGAAAGGGCGGTGCTATAATGTTTGGTACCTGTGATACAGCTGGCAGCTGAGGTGATCAACGTGGTCAACGCGACTTGGAGGGCAGGGTGTCCATTTAATCATTTAGTACCGAGTCAACCTTGGGTGCTTCAGTACTTCAACCCTAGGTCAATCTTAGATGGTATCCATGGGATCTAAGATTGGCCATGAACCGCGTCACGCAGTCTTTCGCTTTAAATGGAGATAATCACCCCAACTGAGTGAAAAAACTAATAGCAATTTGCTGCAGGGTATTTCACGTTGGCCACGTAAATGGAATCATTCTGAAGTCGATGTGAGTGGATGGATTTGCTCTTAAATTATCAGGCGGGTTTTCAGGTGTTTTTGCATGTTTGGAATGGTCCAAGTCCAAGTCCATTTTCTGTACTTCAGGGCGGTGCTGCCAGTATACCGCAGAAGCAGCAACTGTCACGCTTCTGTTTGGCTGGCTCTTAGTATGTGCTTAGAATGAAAGTGAAACGTTATCCGTATCTTTAAATGATGAAAGTGCCAGTAATAGTCATTATGGTAGCAATATTATAGGGGCAAAGTGTTGAAACCACATCCTTCTTGGTACTGCCCTATGAAAATAACCCCCTCCCCAATCAACTCAGGCCTACATGCTTATCCAGGGTTGACACAAGCACTTTTTCTGAGCCATACCCACTGACCGCTGGTTTCTGTTTGTTTGAATCTGAAGATTGTCTGTTAATTTCCACGTTGGTGAACCCCCATTGGCTGAGTCAAGTTCGAGTAGATGTCATGCATATTTGGTACTTGTATGATCATCCCCCGATGACTAACAGCGACTCTAGTAGCATGTGTCAGGTGATTGTTGGACCAACCATAGATTTCCCATAGATTTCTGATGTTTCTCCAGTCCATTCCAGTCCCAGCAATAAGGCAATTTTTGTGCAGCAGACGCTGAAAACGGCCAGCTCGGATGAAGAACTGTCCTTCAAACAGACCCTTGGAATGGCTGGTTATCTCTCTTTCTCTCTCTGCGTTTGGCTGGGCTGGGATTGCTTCACATATTTAATCTTATTTCGATGTTTGCTATATAACATAATCTATATACATATACATATACATGTAAAATCATATACATAGGTATATATATAGCATCAACGTATATAATATTTAATTATGATATGGGTGTGTGCATGTACGGGTTTTGTGCTGATTCGGTTTCTTTGTCAGCAATTGCTATCCGGTGGCCATGGTGGCTACCGCCAATGCTCCGCTCCAAGGAAAGAAAAAGATATTGCGATGTACGCGAACAAGGCGTTGTCAGTTAAGCGTTGGCCCTCCATTCAGGGGCTGAAACAGGGTTGCTCCAAGCTAGGTTTTTCATGAATTGCCACAAAGGGTGGGGACTGGCGGTTTTTACTTCTGACCCTTTACCCAACTTCCATCAAGTTCCTCGGTTTAGTATTTGGGGTGTTGAATATCCCCGTTTGTGAGAAATTCAGCAACACCCCCAGGCAAATGCTTCGCAACTGCCTGCCACTTCCATTTACCCGCTTCCCTGATTTCCCATTGCGACTCGGGACTCGTTAGTAATTAACCCTGGTGAGTTGTTGTCGTTCGTAAGTCCCCAAAAAGGTTATCCTGTTTATAAGTGGTTGAACTAAGCCTAACTAAGCAACTAAGCCTTGCGAACCAAAAACAAACCCAGCCAGCATTTCTGATTTTTTTGTGCGATGATTTCCCATGGTGCCACGGCAGGTCAAAAAGCTCTTCCAAACCATGGACTTTTCAGGAGATGGAGCCATCAATTTGGAGGAGCCCAGGGTGCGCCCCAGGGTGCCTTTTCGTTTCCGCCTCGGGCTGAGTCATGGTGGGTGAATTTCTTTGAGGAATTCATGGAGGATCTACCCTCTGGTAAATTTAACCCCCTGGTATTATCATGGGATTTATGGTGATTTAATGGGATATTAATGGGATCTACCGGCCCGGTAAATTTAACAGTTTGCGACATAGAACATGGCCCAGTCGAAATAGTGGATTTACCCAGCTATAAAATCATGGACCTTTCCATAGTTATGTGGCAACGTTTACCAGAGGGATCCAGAGGGTATAGAGGATCTCTTCTGAGATCAGGGTTCCTGATCAAAATCTCTCGAAATCCTTTCTTTGCTCAGGATGGCTATGGCCCGTAGCCATTTTGGCTCAAGGTGGCAGGTTTCTGTTGGGGCGCTTTAGACTCGTCCACGCAGTGGTAGAGCCATGTCAACGCTGTGGCTGCTGCTGATGCTGATTGCGCTTGAGCTGAAGTTGCGCTGGCGCTGGCGTGCCACAGATAAAATTGGATTCTTGCATGAAATTGGAGCCTTGGTAGAGTGCGATCGTGTTTCTCAACGCGGAGTGCTGTCCCAACAAACATTTGCCATTGAAATTAAGACACTTTCTCGTGTCGTTTGTGCTATCGGTACTGTCTTTGGGGTCATCGGTTTCTTGACCTGTGCTTGCTCCTTGGACGTCGGCTTCCTCTTTGTCTCCCTTGTCTTGGGAGGGGGATGGGTGGCCTGCTGGTTGGGTTGGAGGGGGGCGGCTGGGTCTGTGCGTCCCGGTCGGCACTCGGTTCATCGTGGTCTCATCCCTTGCCGCTTTGCTGGTCGTATGCGTCTGGCTGGGTGTCGGTTTGGCTGGTCGCGTCGTCTTCGATGTCGTGTCAAGGTTGCTGTAGGTCAAGGCTTTGCTGGGACCGAAGCTCAAACCCCTAAGAATGGCTCTTGTAGAGGAGGTGGGGGAAACAGTGAAGCGGATTTGCTTACGGGGCTGGTGGAGCTTCTTAGTAAATTCGGGAATCATGGAGAAAAAGGACCTGGGTTTACTGGCAAGGGTAAAGGGAAAGAAACCCCCAGTAACGCTAAAGGTAAGGGGCAGCATACTGGGAACCTCAAAGGGAAAGTTGGCTCCCCTGTTCAGCAAACTTTCTATAGTAAACCTACCAAAGGACACAATGGAAAGTCGCAAGGACAGATGCCTCACACTGCGGAAGGAGCACTGTTGGAAGCTTTGAAAAGACTTATTAACAGAGCCTCCCAGGACGAAGGCCAAGGCCTTTTTCAAAGACTCAACGGTCTGGTTACTGCGGCAGCCAGCGGAAAACCCTTGAGTTCTAAAAGAAAGAAACGACGGGGACAAAAATCTAAAGACCCCCAAAATTCCTTCCCCAGTACTATGAAACCCAAAGGTAAAGGTCTGGGAAAAGGGGTGGCTAAAGGATTCGAAAAGGGAAAATCCTCTGGCAAAGGGAAGGGTAAAAGTACCAATGACCAAAGTCACCAAATCAGAGTTCAGAAAGCCAAACATGGTCCAAAAATCTTTGAACCCGCACGGCTTCTGCCAAAAGGATGGCCGATAGGGGCCGCCATGAGTGTGGAAAAGCTTCGCGCAACTCTGGAGAAAGGGCAAACACCTCAGGGATGTGTTACTTGGGCCACTCAGGAACAAATCCTCGAGCTCCAGACCTTGGCAAAAACGCACAACATTGCTAAGGCTTTTGCTTTGGTTTGTCTTGTCCAACCAGGCCAAGAGCAACCGCCGTACCCTGGGGGACTGCGGAGGCCACTGCCAGCGACAGACAGGAATGGACAGTTGGGACTAGGAAATTTCTGGGCCTTCCCACTTGCTAAAGAATTTCCGCAGCTGCCGTGAGTTGTGGCACCAGCTCAAAAAGTGAAAAAGTGGAAAGACTCCTGTGTACTCTCAGAGTGCAAGTCCCTAAGCGACTGCTTCAACCCAATGCATGGCAAAGTATGGTGGCGAACCCTGCTACCGTACTTCGTACCATCGTTGACCCTAGCACCTTCCATAGTACCTTTAAATGGAGTTCTGTCACCCACAAAACCAAGTTTGGGGGAGATGAAGAAGTGCTTGAAGGGTATATGAAAATTGATCAAGAAGGTTTGTTCAATGTCTTACGAAAATCTGGTTCTAAGGGAATGTTTTTTACCCAAGTTCTGAAAGAAAACCCCAATCCCCCGAAAGTTTCATGGGTCCCTAGGGTTGCGGAGGAAACCGACCATCAATATATGGCTAGGATTCAACAAATTGGTCATTCCAAACAAACCCCCCTTAAATTCCGAGTCGGTGGTGGGGCGTGTTTGGGATTAATAGGCGTTGACCCTGAAAACAAACCTACCCTTTGGCAGGTTGCTGGGGTCCCCACAAAATGGACTGGACAGGACTTGACTCGATGTCTTGAAGGGGCTGGGTTCACTGATACTACGGTCCTTCGCAGGCCTTTTCGGAATCATCCATGGATGGTAATTACTAAGGTGACAGCCGAATTTCAGAGCTCTTCCGTTTTTGGGGTTGAGTCCAACAATGTCTGTTTGACCATTTCCAAACCCCCGCCAAAAAATTCTGTTTTGGGAAGACGCAATGTCAGTTTTGGTAGGTGGCATGAAAAGAGGACCCATGTTGTTGCGTCGGCTCTGGGAGTCCCAGAAAATGACGCCCGGCGCGACAACAGGGAACAGACCCAGGATGAGCAACAGGCTCCAAAACGGCACAAAGCCGATAACTCTGCTCCGTACACTTTGGTGGACTGTGGGGGTGCTGGGAACTGTGGTTGGAACAGTGTTGCTGTTGGTTTAGGTATTAAAAAGGGATTGACTTATGAAGAAGCTTGTAAGGACATCGAAACCACAGTTCGCACCCTTAGGGCCGATGTTTGTTCTCATGTCATGCGACACTCCACTGATTATAAGCCCAGCTGGGCGCCAGACAGCGGAGAGACCGAAGTCACGGCGGCCGGGGCAGTTCCGGCAACCTTTGAAGAGTGGGCAGCATCCCTACTCAGGGACCGTCAATGGATGTGTGGCATGGCGCTTGAAGCTGCTGCGCGTAGATGTGGTGTCAAAATTGTCATTTTAGAAGAAACCAATGGGGAGATGCTTGAACCTCTGGTTTGTGGAACTGGCAAGAAACGTGAAGACCCTATCATTTTGTACCTCAAAGATGAGCATTTTCAATTGGTTCTTCGACAGGACGGAATTGAACTCCCAAGGGACTGGGTTCAGGCTAAATCTTCTGGGGAACCCATAAGGATTATTCTTAGAGGGGCTGGACGTCTTTGGTGTGACAAAACCCCTTCTAAGACTTCTACTAAGAAAAGCAGTAGACCGATGCGCCAAACCCGCAGGGCGTGGTCCTCTAAAACTCCCTCCAGGGCCTCCAGTACCGCTGATGGGTTTTCAACTGCTCCGACCTTTCGCCTTTGGAGGAAGACCAGTCTACAGGAGAGCGAGAAACCAAGAGGGGACAGCACTATGGCTCCTTCAACCGACCAAAATGCTACAGGAAGCGATTTTCAGTTTGGCACAGTTGCGACCTCAGGAGACCGGCCAAAATTCCCAAGCGGCAAACTTGGGGCCCTGCATGAAATCACTGAAGCGGAAAAGAAATCCCGACCGTGGTGGACTTGTCAGCTCTCTGGCCACGTGATATATTTCAAACAATTTCAAGGGAGATATTCTGCGGCACATCTCAAGGCTAGGCAAAGGCACCTTTGCAAGATTCACGGATACAGCAAATCCCCCCCTCTCCCCCGACATGGTATTCAGGATATGGCGATCAGAAATGAGGCTAGGCAAAGGCACAACCAAAACATTGGGTGGAAAGCCGTGTGGGAAGCTTATATGAGTAACAGATGGCCCGGTAGTCACCGTATTCTTGAAAAAGGCATTCGTACGGTTGCTAGATCTGGGTATGTGGTTTACAAACAAAAGTGTCAGGACTGTGGCGCGGTCATGTGTAGAGGTGATGTCCCCAAGCGTGACCCCTGTGTTAAAAATCCCACCTTCGCGGACGCCCCCTCTAGGCCCGAGCGTGTCAAACTTTGGCGTGGGTTTCAAAAATGCCGCCAGACCGCTATGCGAGACGCCCGCAAAGAGAGGTACAAATGCGCGATGAGCAAAAAAGAAAGCATGCAGTACGCGAACCGCATTAGGCTTGCTAGGAGCAAAGAAGCTAGTTTGTCTAAACTCGCGGATGGAGTCAAAGCCACTAGAAGAAACCACCGTGGTGAGGTCATAGGGGAAGCTTCGAACCCTGGTCCTGCGGTCCCTCCCTCTTCTCATGGTCGCGCTAGTGAAAAACCCAGCCTCAATTTGTGGAGCACAAACATTCGGTCATGGAATAAACATGGCGAGTCCCTTCTTGGCGAAGCTACTAAGGCAAACGTGCAAGTGGTGTGCTGTCAGGAAACCAACCTCCCTCAGGAGGATTTCGCTACTCAGATGTGGGTAGCCCGGCAACTTGGATGGAATGTCATTTTTATTCAGTCCTTTGGTAGCAACAACGGTGGCCTCGCAGTTGCAGTCAGAGAACCTCTTGCCGTGGTTATCCTTGCTGAAATTTCGAATGATTCGGGTCAAATGATTCAGGTTGAAGTTCACTCCTCTAGTGTTCCTTTTCGCTTGTTTAATGTGTATCAACGGCCCGGCTGTTGGGATCCTTCCATCTCTCATCCTATGCGTGGGCTCGATAACACCCCCTGGGTTTGCTGCGGTGACTTCAATGCTGATGTTCGCAGCCTAGGTTTTGTGACCCTCGTTGGCACTGCTAGACACACTACCAGTAAGCATCCTATCGATGGGGTCTTTGCCTCCGAAATGTTCGCTCAAATGATTGGTGGGGAACAACAAAGTTTTGGCAATGACCACAGCATCGCCTGGGCCTCCTTCCAGGGAACGTGGGTCACACCACCTGGTGATTCCACCATTTGGATTTTTCGCCAAAATAGGCAAACTCAGAATGCAGGTCTGGAAAACGAATTTCAGGACAAAGAGAAGTTTTGGGTCAACAGTGTCTGCTCTCAGGAGGAATGGCACAATTGCCTCCAACAGGACAGCGAAGCGATTTGGGCACAATGGACTCAGGATTTTGAAAGCTTCTTGGTTGGCACCCAGCAGGTCATCCCAGCCAAACGCTTTCCTCTCATAGGCGCTGTCCCCACTCTGGTGTCCGGTGGGCATCATGGGGCTCCGGGGCAGACTCACAGGGAAAGGGAATTACGACGTGGCATCAGGAGAGCACGTGAAGCTGCCTTTCTTTCCCGCAAAGGTGCGCCAGTCTCTAGGGGTCTTGTAAACAACATAGCTAAAAGTCTGGAACCTTGCAAACGTCACCTGGTTTTGAATAAGCAATGGACGCTTGTCGAGATGGAATTTTTGGGCAGACTGGATGAGGTTCTTAAACAGAAGACCAAAACAAAACAAGAAGCTTGGACGAACGAGATGTCCAACCTGTCCAAAGCCACGAAATGGATCAAACAAAGCTGTCCCCCTCAATTTTTGCTGGAAGGGGGGGTGGCTGGCAGGGTTGCGTGTCTTAAGGTGATTCACAATGTCTGGAAAGCGATTTTTGGGTGCGATACTGATGCAGACGCTGACCCCCAACATTTTTGCCGGATGTACAAAGATGACCTCCCCGAGGAGACTCAGGCTCAGACGCTCCCCAAACTAAATAAGTGGCAGGCGCGTAACATGGCTGCTACCATGGCCAACAAAGCCACGGGCCCTGACGGTATTTCGGCTCAACACCTCTTGACACTCCCAGATGATGGCTGGGAAAGGATCACTCAGATGCTTAATCGGTTTGAAACGCTGCAAACCTTTCCTTCTGCAGTGCAGCACTGGAAAGTTGTTTTCATACCTAAAGGCAATGCTCCTGAAGGGGTGAGTGCAGACCAGATGAGACCCATTAGTGTGGCGTCTATTCTGTACCGACTTTGGGCCCGCTGCCGGATCAAACAATGCAATGAGGTGGTCGAGAAACACCTGGCCCCGCTTCAAGCCACTACGCAGCTTGACCCTGAAGTCATTCACCTTGTCTTGCGGGGAGAATGTCCGGCCTCCTCCTTTCAGTATGGATTGGCACTAGACTACAAAAAGGCTTTCGACAGCGTGAACACCGAGCTGGGCCTTCACCTCCTCAAACGGGTTGGTCTCCCTCAGAACGTGCTTGGTTTGCTCTCCAGCCAATGGAGGAATCAAACGCGCTGGTTAAGTTTCGCTGGTGCAATTCATGCTGAACCGTTGACCAAAGTCCCTAGTCTGCCGCAGGGAGACCCCTTTTCCCCGCTCACCTTGGCCCTTATTTTGTCCTGCCCAGCCAAAAGATGCATCAGGCTTTTCCCTATGGTGAAATGTGCGCTCTATCTGGACGACAGAACCTTGACTAGCGGCAACGTTGAGAAGTTAGTTGAAGCTGCAGCTGATTGGGATCGTTTGTCCCAAGTCACCAGACTCAGTACCAATCACCAGAAGTCCCAGCTCTGGGGCAGAACTGCAGCGGCTGCGAAATACCTGAGAGAACAGCACTTTGAATTTCCTGTCAAGAACGAAGTTGAAGTCTTGGGTTATTATTTGGGCGCCAACCCTGAGCAGCACCCCAAGAGGCTGGCCCGTGTCGAAAATGGAAAAACAGTGGCGCGAAAGATAGCCACGCTTCCCATTCCCCAAACCCTTAAAAGCCAGCTCGCCATGAGCCTGCTCACCAGCACTGCTGCCTGGGGACAGGACGTCACCAAAACTCAGCTCCTCAGAGCGGCGCAAGACCAGCACCTGCAAAACTTCAAGTTGGCTGTTTTTGGCATAAAGAATCCCTCTAGCAGTGATTCTCAAAGCAAAGCTCAGAACAGGTCTTCTCCTCACCTCAGGCAAATACTAGATTTGGGTCACGGCTCGGATCTGATATTTGTCGTGGTGACTAAGTACATGAGCGCGCTGGCGCGTTGGTACAAATATAGAGTCCCTGATAGCAGCCTCACTCGCAGTTTTCAACGCAATTCGGCAGATGTCTGGAGAGCTGTTCGAAAGCACCTCAACACTTGGGGATGGCAGGAACAGGACTGGGGACACTGGGCAGTGCCCAGGGAAGTGCACTTTCAGATCACCATGCCCAAAGAACAACGCGCGGTTTCTTTGCACCACCTCCGGCAAAGTTGGAGGAAGGCAAACTTACTTGCTTGGCTTGATTCGGATAGAAACGATGCGCGAGTCGCGCTTACTGTGGGACTTGACGAGAACATTCATGATGGTCTTATTGATACCTTACGTAAAGTTTACAAACAACTCAGTAACCCTCATGAGAAAGCGGTTGTCACTGGTGGAATGCATACTGCCGCCAGCACAAGGTGGGGAGGTACTCAAGAAATTGTGGATGAAGCGGGAAACATGTGCTGTCCCGACTGTGGTCAGGCGCAGCACCCGACCTTGGAACATGTGCTTTGGAACTGTGATAGATATGCTCATTTGAGGGTCCACAGCCCTCCATCCTGTCCGCTTGTTCGCAGACTTGGATGGAGCCATGAAACTACAGTTTCCCAATCTCTGTCCCTTCTCCGACAAATGGGGAAAATTCGAGAAGCTGAAGTCATCAATAGAATGCAAAGGGTCCGACTTCAGCACGCCCGTGTGATCCGAGGTGGTGGCACAGCCATCTTGTCTGGTCATACTAAGGAGCCGTCTGGTCATACTCAGGTCACTACCCGCATTGGCGCTGGCGCTGGCGAGTGGCATTGGCGCTGGCGCTTGCGCCTGCAGCGGCTGCGGACGCTGCTGCGGACTGCCGACGCCTGGAGCAAATGCTGCTGCGTGCGGATGCAGACTTGCGCAGGCCGAGTGAGTAGGATCTTACTGTCCATCCGCGTTTCACACCTCTTGCATGTCTTTAGGCTGTTTCTTTATTGGATGACTCCTGACAATGCTGTTGTTTTCCAGTCGAGCAAAGAAAATCGGCCCCAGAAGATGCCGGCAAGACCCCTTGAGGCTAAAATTGTTTTGGTGGAACAAAACTCTCGTCTCACACTTGGTAGCCCTAGCAACATTGTGAAGAAGAGCTTTGTGAGATGGGCCAGTCACTGTGTTGTTTTTGGTCCCCCGGTGGAAACTGAAAGGCTGACAAGAGCCCTTAAAAAGAAAGATGTCAAAAAAGTGCAACCTGTGTGGCTGCAAGTTGAACAGAAAAGAGAGCCTGTGTGGCTCCTGCCAACTTTTGTGAATTCGTTTTGGTTGAATTCGTTTCTGAATTCGTTTCCGAATTCGTTTTGGATGCTCTGCGCAATTTTGACGCTCCTCTTCTTGGTGCCTCTCAATTTTGGCCACCTATGTGGAGGCCCCCCAAGTCCAGCGGTGGCGACGGTGCTGTGCCATGGCTTCGGAGGTTAATCCCTCCTCTCTTTGCCTCTATCCCGTGTTAGGATGGGGCAGTGACACATGCGGCTATGGCTCGACAACTGGCGGTTGCACGTAACATTGACGGTTATACCATGTTATACCTAACATTGGCAGTTGAAAATCCGAGATTTTTCCGCTAAAAAAGGTGTGGGATCCAACTATTTGGTCAATAACCCATGTATTTTACATGGTGAACCTGGAATGTATCCCACACAGAACTGGCTTGTAATATGGTCATGAGTCAGAACTCACTTAGGATTCAACATGGGTGTCCATGTTGTAGCCATTGCAGAGTGTGCAACACTGCATGTTTCACCATCCGGCTGTGCAGCAAGTTCTGGCAACAGGTGGCAACCAGTGAAATCAGTGGATGCCAATGCCAGTGCTCACACCGAAATTTTTTTATCAACTGGGATCATTAATGATGTCATATGTGGCATGAAAGATCATGAAAGTCCAGAACTCTTGGCACATGTTTTTTTTGGTGGGAAAAAACCTGAAAAACGGTCCTTTTTACAAAACCCCAATCGTTGGTGAAATCCATCGGTCCATGGTCCATCGGCGCAGGAGTTTTCGAAACTGGTGAAATCGCCCAAGTTGAAGTTCTGGATGGGTCCTTTGGATCCCAAGGAGTCGTGGACATCGTGGACATCGTGGACGTCCTCCATACTTTATGGAAAAAAATATATGGTAGGTCCGGCCCCTTTATATGTAGAGATTGTAGAGTATACATGGTATATAGACATGACATGACATGAAGATATTCTGAATGTCCACATGGTTATGAAACTTGAGGACTTTCGCTACATTTCCTAAAAATTGAGCTGCATCTAATGGAAATGGCGATGATTGCAGATGCCCAAGACATGTGGAGAGTTGAATGGCTGAGAGGAAAGATCTAAACCATCACCACCATCAACCATTCACTAGTTGGTTTATCTATGAACGTTTTCCAATTGTTACAGGTGATAGAGATCCCCATGTGGCTTGAATCCGCTGGTTTTTAAGCATCAAATGCTATTTGTGATGCTTAAATCAACTTAATTCCCATGTTTTGTTGGTTCAATCAGTTAAATCCTACTTTTTGTTGGTTAAATATGGATAAATTTTAGTTGAATCCTATTTTGGTTGGTGAAAAAATGCCTGGTGAATTCAGGTGAATTCATTCCCTTGACGCTGAACTGGGTCAGCGTCCAGGTCAGTTAGAACTGGAATACCACGACCTGCTGAGTCTCTTCGAATTTTTGGACAACGGTACCACGACCTCGAGGATATCAGGATATCATGGGGATGTAGTGGGTGATTTAGTGAAGATATGAAGATATGGGTTTGTCATGATTTGTCTGAAAATATGCACAACCCAGTCATTTACCATCATATTTCCCAGTTCAGAAGCTATTTTGGGGGGTTAGACCCCATGTTCAGACTGGTAATTTAAGAGTTTGCTCTTGAAAATGGCCCAGTAGAAATTGTGGATTGATTTAATTTACAGTAGCCATTGAAAATGGTGGATCTTTCTAGAGTTTTTTTGTATGTTTACCAGAGGGTAAATCAATATTAATCATCATTCATCACCATTATTAACCATTGTTAATCATCATTCACCATTATTTACCAAAAACCAGAACCATTAATCATAGATGGGAGAATGCACGAATGGGCTTCTTACGCTTCTGAAACGATCGAGTTATCGGGTTATGAAAACCACGAACTTCCGAACGGCGATCGTTACAGGCTAGGTCAATGGTGACAATTGGGCCATATCATATACCCTTTGGTAAATCAACTATGGGTAAATCAACTATAAATGGCCATGTTCAATAGCTTTTTGTAAGTTTACCAGAGGGTAAACCACAAATGATTTGTTTGGACTACATGTTCAGCGACAGATGAGTTTTCGAGTTGACAGTTTGGCGCATGTATCTGGAGAAGATACAGTTGGAAAACTCAACAGTTGACCTGTTTCATTTGGGGCGTCCAAGAACGGTACAGTACGCTATCTCAAACCTTGGGTCTACCCCTTTCCATACATATAGATTGTACAATATTGTACAGTATAAACATTACCTTTTCATAGATTGTAACATTCACCGGGTGGACTTAAAGATAGTCCAACAGTCCCTGATAGGTTTCTTAGAAACAAACAAACCATCATAAACCCAAAAACAGCAAAACAACAATCCCAGCTCCCTTGTCAACATGCTATGTAGTAAGCTGATTTGGCCAGATATTCTGACTGGATGTAAGCATCTAGATGTGGCTCACTGACTAGGGAGATGTAAAAAATGAGAGGGCAACGTGTTCTGATATTTGATGTACTAGTAGTAAAATGCCTAATCGAGAAAATTGCGTAATTAAACTTAGAATTTGTAAAAACTCCTGCAGTAAAACCATGTAGTGTATATATCATCGATCTACTCTGTAGCGTTGGTTCAAAACAGTGCCAGCAGCTTAACGGTTGTAGCTGTATTTCACCCCATTGTCGGTTGACCTGGTAAAATACAGGTTATCAGCCGTAGTCTCACTACTTTGCTATGGGGACCCCAATTGACCATCCTCTCGCCGTTCCAGGGTCAGGTCCATCGGCTGTCGCTGTGCCCAATGTGGCCGGGGGCAACCCCGAGCCGATGGATGACGAAACAATGTTCCAACCCGTTGTTGCGTACTTTACCTTCATACAAAACAACCTGTCCCAGATTACTAGTGGGAATACCCTGCAAGTCATGAGGGAAGCTGAACAGAGGCACCTTCAGATAATGCATGGAGTAGTTGACTCAATTCGAAACGAATGGTCATGTAGACTCGTAATGCAGGAGCAGGAGTATGAGCAAAGGCTGCAGGAGATTGAAGGTAAGGCCATTAGTGCCGTCAACGAGGAGAGGAAACGAGGCGACGAGATGGAGGTCAGGTTGAATCAGGCTCAGGCATCGAATGACAAAAGAATAGAGGATGTAAAGGCAGAGGCAAACACAAAGCATGATCAGAAAATTGCAGAGGAAAGGCAACGTATCACTAGTGAATTCGAAGCTTCCTATGCACAGACAGTTGAACATGCAAAGAATGCCATAGCTGCCACAAAGAAGCAATATGAAGATCAGGCTGCAATTGATCAGGCCAGGTTCATCAGTTTGAGGACCGAGTTCGAGAACTACAAGAAGGAGATGGCCGACAAGATCAATGAGGCAGCGGCTCAGAACCTTAGCCTTCAGGACCAAATCGATGACCTTCAGGAGCAGTTAAAGCATGTTGCCAAAGCGCAGCATGCCTCCGTTCCGAGAGCATCCGCCCTGAATGCCGAGCCGGCCGCTACCACTAGCGTGCCCCACTTCAATATTGCCACTCCCAAAGCATCCGATGCACAGGCTGCCAAAGGCAGGGACGAGCCGATTCATGAGTTGAAGACGCCTGCAGTGTTGGCACAAGAAGCAAAGGCCAAGTTGGATGAGCTGCTCAAAGGTGGCAGTCCCAAGCAAAAGCCGGCTGTCGGCAACGACCAGCCTCAATTGCCAACGCAGTCAGGGTTTTTCACTCCCACTGAAGCTATCAAAACTCCCCCAAATGACTCCCCCAAGAGAGTAACCAAGCAACAGCAAGTTATGGGTCCCTCGGATCTTATTGAATTGGTGAAAGCCTTAACCCAAAGGGAAGAAAAGGATAAGCCAAAAACTAAGGAGGCTGAACTCATCAAGCTGAACAACATGCCCGCTCCGGAGTCATATAGAACTTGGAAGAATCACGTCAGGGATGAAGTGAAGAGCTGTTCAGATCGCCCGGATGAGGCGTGGCTCTGGCTCAACGAGGTGTACGATCAAGAGTGCACCAGAGAGCAGTTGGAGAAGAAACTCCAAGATCCTGGAAAGTTCCTTACGCTGGATACAAAGTTATCAGCAGCGCTCACGCGCTCAGCCGGAGGGGACCTCGCAACTAGGATCTTGAATTTCAAGGAGCAGCAATCCCGAAAAGGCATCCAGGTCAGGGGAAGGTATGTTCTGCTCATGTTTGAGGACTACTTCAAAACATCAGAAGAAGCAGGTAGCCTTTACAGAGTAGAAGATCTTTTGGGTGTTGTCAAAGTAGGCGATACTGTCCAGGATCTCCGAAGATTCATCAACAAATGGGATGCTACCCTAGCTGGCATGGCTGTCACCCCCGATGATGCGGTGTTAAGGGACATCTTGTTGAGGCAGATCCGACCAAGTCAGTTGCTGAAGTATGACATTGAGATGTTTGACCGTGCTCATGAGAAATCCCATGAAAAGTCTTATAGTTTTCTTCACCAATCCATGAAGAACTTGATCGATCGTGAACGATTGAGGGAGAACAGGAACCGCATCGCGGAGAAGAACAAGGCTGGGATCAAGGACACAAAGGCCGCACCTGCCAAAGGCGATGGTCGCGGTGGCCGAAAGGGCTCTCCAAGTCGCGGTAGATCGCAGGAACGAGGTGGTAAAGGTGACAAGATTTGCTATAAGTTCCAAAAGGGTACCTGTGATAAGGGGAAGAAGTGTCCATTCAAGCATGTCAAAGATGATAAATCTCGAACTCAATCACCCAGAAGAACCAAAACACGCTCACCATCAAGGGGCAATAAAGATGATAAGGGGAAGAAAATGTCCAAGGAAGAAATGGCTAAAACCCCATGCATCTATCATGCCCAGGGAAAGTGCAGACGTGGTGACAAATGTTTTTATAAGCATGATGACAAAGCTGCTGCCGCCACCAAAGACACCAAAAGGGCCAATTCACCCGCCCCCAAGAAGAAGAGCAAGGATTCAACAGCCGCTCCATGCCTGATCCAGAAGTTTGCATGCATCGTCCGAAAACAGCCGAAGGCAACTTCGTGCTCTGATGAGTCAAGTGTCAGCATGAAGCGCCTTAGATTCCGAAAGGCCCCACATGTGATCGAGGTGAAAGCAGTTGGTCATCAAGTCCCAGTCAAGCACCGTCCAAGAGAGTTCACTAAGGTGTACAAGACAGCTGAAGACGTTCCAGTTTCATCCAAGGTTGAACAACATGAGGCTCAGGTTCGTGCAAGACAGCTTCAGGAAACTGTGAAACTTCATGATTCAGATGTTGCACCTAGTTGTGGGTTTTGTTGTTGGAATGAGGACACACGTGACATCACATGCAAAGAGTGCAGGTTCATTAGCGGTCCCAAAGCCCTTAGAGACATTGGTCGCTTCCCGTCAATTGCCACAGCCGCGCCAAAGGCCGGTGTTAGTTGGCTTGTCGACTCAGGTAGTGAATCCGATCTTGTGTCCAAAGGAATGCTGAGGGATGTCAGTGCCAAGAACTGCCGTGCAGCCGAGCATCCGATTTCCTTAGTCACAGCCAACGGTTCGACCGAGGCAAACGAGGTTGCTGATGTCAAGTTGTCCGCATTGCCAGATCCCGTGCATCCGTATGTACTTGATCATACCCCAGCTGTGCTCTCCGTAGGAACGAGATGTGTAGATCAGGGTTACAGTTTCGTATGGCCTGCCAATGGCAAACCAATCCTAGTCCGTCCAGATGACAAGGTCGTCCAGCTCAAGATCGAAGGTCATGTCCCAGTTTTGGATGATAGTTGCAAGGTTTATCCCAAAGATCAATTTCAAAAGGATAAGCAAAGATCAATTTCAAAAGGATAAGCACCTCAGAAAGTTGTTTGCAATGCCGACCTCACGGTCGAGCTCAAAAGCCAAACGGGACGAAGCCCAAGATGAAGAGCAATTGGATGAGCTGGTGGAGGATGACGCTCAGCAGGAGTACATCCGAAGCCGCAAGACTGAGGATCTGTTGGCTGAAGCTGCAAGTACCCAACATCAGTACACGCATTTCCCCAAGAACCCCTTTTGCAGAACCTGCCAACGAGCAAGGATGATGGCACCTCAGGCACGAAAGAAAGGTGGTCAGAAGAGAATCGAAACTGAAGTGTTCGGTGGCCACGTCATTGGGGATCATGTCATCATCAAGAAAAACGTAGAAGAGGGTTTCAGGGGGGAGCAAGTTGCATTGGTGTTAAAAGATCTGCACACCCAATATCGGTATGTCTACCCTAGCCAGTCCAAGGACTCACAAAGCTGTGTTGATGGTTTGAATCACTTCATTGGATCAAAGGATGATGTTCAAGTTGTGTACACTGACAATTCCCCAGAATTGATCAGGGCCATCAAGGATTTGGGTTACAGACACCAAACTTCCATTGAATACGTAGATTCATCAAAGTCCTTTGCTGAGCGCGAAGTTCGTCAGATGTTGGAAGGTGCCCGGAG